TCGTGTAGCGGTTGAGCTGAGTCTTCTCATTATACTTACCGGTGTGGTAATTTATGTGTGACCAGAGGGTCATATTCGTGTTATTGACCGGAGGGTCTTATTCGTGTTATTGATTGGAGGGTCTTATTCGTGTTATTGACTGGAGGGTCTTATTTGCTTATACTGAGATATGTGATATTATGCATTCTGTCTTTGTGATCATTGCTATATATTACTCTGTGCATTTATTGAGTTATGACCAGAGGGTCAATACCGAGCAGTGAGACCGGAGGGTCTTCACCGAGACACTGGACCGGAGGGTCCATACCGTGTCGTGAGACCAGAGGGTCTTCACTGAGACACGTGACCGGAGGGTCCTTATCGAGATATAGTTATGAGAGGCTAAATATTTGTGTGTGTGGTATTTTAGGGAACTCACTAAGCTTCGTGTTTACCGTGTTGAGTTAAATGTGTTTCAGGTACTTCTGTAGATTCCTGGAAGGCAAAGGCACGATTGTACATATCCGACGACTTATGGAGATTTGAGGATTTTGGGATACTCTGATATTGTTTGATAATAACTTACAATTTATGTGATGACTTGAGTAATATTTGATAATTAAAAATGAAAAATTTGTCTTGGAATTTGCGGTGTTACAACTTGGTATCAGAGCCTTGGTTTGAGGGATTCGGGCACACCCTCGGGTATGTCTTGACTCAAACTGAGGAGTTGATAACTTTTCAAAAGAGAATGATTTTTCATCACATGATTTTTCAAAGAGATTAAAGATTTTGAAAGCAGATCTGAAGCAATGTGTACAATCAGCTAGAGCTCGAGCGGTGATTTCCCAAAATACCCTTACTTGATTATGTGTTGTTATTATGAGTTGATAGAATTGCATGCTAGTTTAGGGCTAGTAATATTTGAGAATTAAAAATGAAAAATTTGTCTTGAAATTTGAGGTGTTACAAAAGGAGAATAAATCTATTCTTATACTAGAATAGAAATTTCAAAAAAGCTTGTTTTGATCAAGCAGTTTGATAAATAAAAAAAAATATTAAAGCTTGTTAGTATCTTCTAATACTCACTTAGATAGAACACAATTTGACATCATCTCAGGATTAATTTTCATAACTAGGAGAGTCAAACGTAGATATTGATCACTTTCATTCCTCATTTAAAAAAAATAATCTATAACGTCCTAAATTTTCAGAGATTTTTTTTTTAAATATAAGTACAACATCCAAACATTTTTCATAAAAGATAACAAGTACCAAATTGTTTAACATCATAAAACCAAAAACATGAATTATCCTAAGTGTGTACAGTCAAGCCGGGATATATATATATATATATATATATATATATATATATATATATATAAAGACACACACACATACACACATCATATAACTATCAATCAAGCAAGCAAGACTCCACTAGTCTAACTATTCATACAATCATAACATATAATTACACAAGCATCCTATACACAACAAATCCAAATAATAACACATGTAATATAGTGAGAAAACTCATGTGAACTAAGAGCAAAAATCCCCACACACTGGCTCTCGATAGAATCAACTGTACAAACAACCTAATACCAACGTAGGCCAATCCGCAGTCTGGTATTCGAATTCATCAAGGATTGACCAAAAGTCAAATTTCTAAAAAGTCAACATTCAACAGTCAACTGGTCAAATTCAACGGTCTACGCGCCACGACCCGACTCATGTTGTGACCCTGATGTGAATTATGAGCATTGATTTGGCATGCGGAATTAAAGAACACACAAAGAACATGGTGATTTGGGAGTTTAAGAGATGCATTCAATTATGAAATGTGTTATAAAAAGGGATCTAGATCTAAATCTACATAATTAACACACACTAACACTCTCAATGTTAGATCTCTCAAGCACATATTTACAAGTGGTAAGAACCCACCTTATATAGAGGTGTTTACATGTCTCCCTCTCTCTCTCTCTCTATCTATCTCTCATGCCACAAGGCTACTCTACCACATGCAAGTGGGTCTACTAAAGTCAAACCATTTATAAAGTCATACATGGATTACTTTGTACCCAACATTCTCCCCTCAAAGTTTGGAATGGATGACTGGCTTCAAATCTTCCAAACTTGAGCAACTTCACGAACCGAGCCTCAAACGTGACATATGTAGAGATGAACTTCAAATATTCAATTCTTCAATGATTTTTCAATCCGGGTTCTAGAATGTGAGACCATACAAACCGAGCATAAACGGATAATTAGGAGTTTCTCAATCTACAAACAATCACCCTAAAGTTGAGCATAAAAGCACATCCAAAAATCTTCAATTAGTCCAAACCCATCATGAACCGAAATTCCTTTCGAATCTCCAATCGAGACATTTCATAAACTTCAAATACTCGAGGTCACTTCGGTCTTCAAGTTCGTGTAATATGAAAATTCAACTTTCGAGTTTCCATATATAAATCTCTCCCCCTTTTTATAATCAAAAAATGATTATAAAACCAAAAAGGGAATGAGAAAGCGCTCAATTTGGAATTTTTCTATCCAAAACTCCCCCTGAACACATGGCATAAACAATTTGCTTCAATCCGGAAAATCCAAAATATCTTTAATTTTCAGTTTCGTTCACGGACCGCCTTTGACAAAATTTCACAACTTTGGGTAGAAATTGTCAATTTCAAAATTCTGTAGTGACCCGGTGCGCCCAAAATAGCCAAAAATGAGAAATTCTCCCCCATTTGTGAAACTGGGTCAAAAGCATCAGTTCACATTAACTGCAGGGGCCTGTTTCGAAAACATGCCCATTTCTCAAAAAAATTCAGCCAAATTGCAAAGTTGGGTAAATTTTGTCAAATCTTCGAAACTTCAGGGACTTACTTCGAAACTTCTGCACAATTCTTCAAAATGTCGATATTATACCCCAATGTCGAATATGGGTATAAACTGTAAGTTTCGACAAAAGTGCAGGGACTCATTGCGAAAATTCTGCCTCTATTCTTCCAAAATGTCGAAAATTAGTCCTAATTTCGAAGGTGGTTACAAACTGTCAAACCATCGAAACTTTAAGGACCAACTTCGAAACATTATGTTTGCTTCTTCAATTCATTTGTTCCAGTTGCGAATGTCGACGCCAAGTAGAAACCTTCGAAACTTCAATCTCCAAATTTTCGACTATCGACTTCCCGTCCATTCGCACCCAAAACCTTCGACAATAAACCAAAACCTTCGTTAGTCGATACCCCATTCTCACAACCAAACTTTCGAAACTTATTAACCCAATTCATCAAAACCTTGGAAATTAAGATACCCCTCTTAGTCTCGACTCCAAAATCTTCGAAATTATGTACTAAAGCAATAGCCAAACCCATTTGTTAACAAAACCTTCGAAATCACGTCCCGCAACTATCGACATTAAAATTTCAATTTTACGTCCCAGTTCCAAAATCATCGACATCTATTCACTGTGAAACTTTCGAAATCAAGACACCAAAATCCGATTATCACACTTTCGTTATTAATTTCTTTCTCATGTCGACTCCAGCACACCATCTGTTTCCGATGTCGACTCCACATAACTTTCGACTCAACCAAAGCAGATTTCAGTCAAAATCGATCCTTAACCCATTAGTCGACATACGATTCCAGTTAAATTCGACCTTCACTTTTCATTCACCAACAATTTTCGATCACAAATCAACATCGACATTCAACTATGCATATCGAATTTCCAATTGTTCACCAATCGACTCCAAATCAACAATCAACATCGACCGTTGATATTGATTTCAACATACCCTTCGAAACCACTCCATTAATCAAAATTAGTCATCGATTTCCAACTCAACTCAAAAGTGTCGAACTTCATAATCTTCGTCATCAAGAACACAACACATTCAAATTCGAAATTAAACGCAAATCAGACTAGATTTCGACTCTTTCAACCTCAAAACAACTTGTATAAACCAATTTATTCTACCAATTCATCGATTCACCTCATAAAAATCAAGTTTGACTTTTATGTTGGATTTGACTTTTCGAAATCAAGGACTAATAAACACGAAATTAAAGATTCCTTCACCAAATTCCAGATCAAAACGTGTTCAAACAACTGTTCTAAACCTCCTTCAAGTGTTTTTTTGAAAGAGCCAAAACTCAGCAAACTTTATTAAAAAGAATAAAAGAATACAAGTCCAACAAAAGAACAAATCAACCTACAAATCCCAAATATAACCAACCTATCCATAACCAACTTCCTAACCATTTTTTGAATTTCCAAACCTATCCACCCATTACCCCAATCACCCTTATTATCCTTAAAGCTAGCCCAAAGACTTATTGAAAGTGGGAAAAAAGGTAACTTCACCCCCACGCACCACCAAACCCACAAAATATCCTTAAGACCAAAGCAAGGGGAAAGGCCCTTAAAAAAACCCATAGTCCATAGGACTAGCCTTAAGATACAACCCAACAAACCCACAACACTAGATAAACAAATAACAAAGGGGAAATAAAAGAAATAACAACTAAAACACACATTATCCCTACTATATAAAAACCCGATCAAACTCTCAATCCAGAGCCTTCTGCCACTTCTCCTCCCATCGATCCTCCTTTTTCTTTTACTTCTGTTATCCTCTTCAAACAGGAAGAGATTCCTCATGGCCTTCAACAAAAGAGAGTCCATCTGAATGCTAATATACACCAACTCCATCCTTTGCAAAAACTTCCTTCACACCAAAAACAAGCCAATCCACAAAAAACCACCACCAACCCTCCATAAATTCAGAACAAGTTTCATACTAGACATGGCATCAATCACATGTCTAGGATTCTCCATTTGAATAATCTCAATTAATATCATATCCAAACAGAAAATCCCACAGGTACACGTCACATGATTTGAAAGCAAGCTCTCAAACCAGTAACACAATCCGTCAATTCCTTTGTATATAAACTTATTCCAAAAATAACCCCACCGATTCACAGAATGAAAATCAACAAAATTAAGCATCATCCTCATCCAATCCCAAACTCGAGAACCGCCAACCATCAATCTAAGAAACCAAAATATGACTTCCATATCCTATATTCTGTCCATTCCAGAAATACCCCAAGTCTTAAAGACTCTATCATTTACCATAATAGTCTTTTTCCTCAACCCCAACAGCTTCAATTGTATTTCACTTTCAATACAAGAAATCACCACCTTATGCGAATTCCTCCTACTACTAAAGAGTCTAGAATTTCTCTCCTTCCAAATATGAGAAACACAACTGGCAAACACACATTTATTAACCAAATTCTCAACCGACTTCCCTTTGAAAGAAATGCTCAGTTTCAAAATTAAATCATTCCAATATCAAAAAAGATATTAAGACCGATCTTATTACAGAAATAACTCCAAATAAGATGAGAAAATTCACATTTGAAGAGGAGGTGATCATGGGAATCAGAAGAAATAGCACAGAAAGGACAAAGTAAATTACCAGAAATCTCCCAACCTTTGACTCGATCATGGGTCTTCAGTCTATTCAAAATAGCCAACCATAATATAAACGAATTTCGAGGAATGCAGTTACCATACCACACAATATCATACCAAGGAACTTTGTCACCAAAATTATTTATATCTCTCCACACCTTTTTGCATGAAAATTGTTTACACACCCCATTCTTATCTCTCCAACCAGTAACATCCCTCTGATTAGCATCAATACAAAACATGGGACCGTCCTTCAATCCAGGGAATTCAATCACCCACTCAATCGGCCATAAATAGAAATCATTAACCATAACATCATTGACCTTGGATATATCACTAAACCCATTTCTAATCCAATCCTTTCTAGATATAATAGTGCTTAAAATACCAATTGGGTGCCACCAGTCATGCCAAAGAGAAGTATTCATCCCATTTCCCACACACGAAACTACATGAGGCCTAACAATTTTCCTCACCTCAAGGAACCTCTTCCAAGTCCAGCTCATACTCTTCTTCTGTAAAATATCCCAAAAGTTCCTATCACCAATGTAATTCTTTTTCACCCATTGGACCCATAGAGAGTTTTTATTATTAATCACATTCCACACATGTTTAGCTAACAAGGCATCATTCCATTTCCTTAAATTCTTCACCCCTAACCCACCATAATCTTTAGGCCTACAAATATCAATCCACTTGACTTTAGCTTTCCCTTTGACTATCTCACCATTCGCCCACGGGTAACTTCTACAAATCTTCTCAATCTCTCTAATTGTGGCAATAGGAATTTTAAAGATCGAGGCCCAATACACATGAATAGTAGTCAAAACAGAATTAATGAGTAGCAACCTCCCAGCAAACGATAAGGCCTTACTTTTCCAATTAAGAATTCTCATCTTAATCTTCTCAACAAGCTGTTTACAATCTCTGCAAAATAACTTAGTAACACACATAGGAATTCCAAGATACTCAAAAGGAAATTTCCCAATATCAAAAGGAAGAATGCCCAATATAATCCTTCTCATATTGGGTTTAACACAACTAAAGAAAATCTGACTTTTTTCCATGCTCGCCTTCAACCCTGAAACTTTTTTCAAATCATTAAGAGCATCCCTAACGACTCTAGCTGAATTCCCATTCCCATAAGAAAAGACTAACAAATCATCAGCAAAGCATAAGTGTGTGATTTTTTGGGACAAACACTTACTATGAAACTTAAAATTCTGGAAATCTTCAATTTTCTTCAAAAGAATGAGATTAAAAACCTCCATAACTATAGTAAACAGGTAAGGATATAGAGGATCACCCTGCCTAAGACCCCTTTTACCTTCAAAAAACCCGTGATCTTCACCATTAAAATTCAACATGAACCACGGAGATGACACACAAGCCATAATCCACTCAGTCATTATCGGATGAAACCCAAAACCCAAGAGGATCCTTTTAAGCAATTTCCAATCCACCGTGTCATAAGCCTTTTGAATGTCAATCTTTAAAGTACATTTAGGAATTCCTCTTTTATTTTTATAACCTACCATCAGATCCTGAGCAAGAAGAATATTATCTAAAATAGATCTCCCTGGAATAAAAGCTGAATGATTTTTGCTCACAATATCTCCCAGATTATTTCTAATTCTATTCACTCTAATCTTACTAATACACTTATACAAAGTGTTACAGCAAGCTATAGGACGGAAATCAGAAACTTTCCTCGGGAACTCCACTTTAGGGACCAACATAATTCTCGTAGCATTAAGCCCTTTCAACAATTTACCAGTCCAAAAAAATTCCCTCACAGCTTTACACACCTCCGGCCCAACAATATTCCAAGCAGTTTTAAAAAATTTGGAGGAAAACCCATCCGGACCAGGGGCACGATTGTCATCAATATCAAACATCGCAACTTTAATTTCTTCATCAGTAACCACTCTAATCATATTCAAAGCCACCCTACTGTCTAATTTATTATGAAAGAACCCATCATTTAAACACGAGAACTCAATTATATCTTCACATCCCAAAAACTTCTTGAAATGATTGACAAATTTCTCCTTCATAGCCTTCCCACTAACCCATCTTCCATCTTCATCAAGCACCATCAATATACGATTTTTATTACCCCTGCTCTTCACAACTCTATGAAAAAACTTAGTATTATTGTCCCCTTCCAATAACCAATTCATCTTAGATCTCTGGGAGAGAAGCAATTCTTCATCATTACACGCAACATTGAACTCAAAAAGAGTATTAGGATGCTCCTCCCTAATCTTACTATCAAAAGGATTAAGATCAATATCAGCTTGTTTACTTTCCAATTCCTTTCTCAACTTTTGAATTCTCTTCCCAGAACCCCTGTATTTACTACATAGCTCCCGACAATACTTTTTAAGAATCTTCAACTTCTGAAAAACTTTGAACATAAAAAAACCTTCAATATTAGTGCCCCAAATCTCTTTAACCAAAGGTAAAAACTCCTTCTTCTCTGTAATAAAATTGGCAAACCTAAAAGAAGGTTTCCATCTCAATTTTCCAGCAGGAACATTTAAAACAGCAGGACAATGGTCTGATACCCTATAAGGTTTAAAAACAGCATGAGCTAAAGGATGATCAGAAACAAATTTCAAATTAACCATCACCCTATCTAACTTCTTCAAAAGACCCTTATTCCCAGCAGGAGATTTGTTCCAAGTAAACTGAAAACCAGTGCAATTCAGATCCTCAACTTCAATAGAATTTATACAGTCAATAAATTCATCAAATCCTTTCGGCATTTTAGAACATCCTTCATAATATTCCGAAGGCTTTAAAGCAACATTAAAGTCACCTAAAATTCCCCAAGCTTCCTTCTTAACAACCAAACTATGTTTCTTCAGATTATCCCACAATAACCTTCTCTCTACATAAGTCCAAGCAGCATATATAAAAGACAAATACATGCTATAGTTAGAATCACAGAACCTAACATAACAATGTATTACTTGTCTAGACTAAGAAATCACCATCACATCGAATAATCTAGGATTCCATCCAACAATTATTCTAGTTCCAGCATCACAGCTGCTATTATGAGAAACCCAATCCCATTGACCAAAGGTCTTAACACACACATTCTTAAGATTTAAGACCTTAACATGAGATTCCACCACAACACATATACCAAGGTTATTACTCCTAATAACATCAATAACCTCCTTTTGCTTAATGGCTTTATTCAAGCCCCTCACATTCCAAACCCCTATAGACATCATTGGGAATTAATAGAGTTTTTGGCATTTACCACCTCAAATGCCTGAGAAGCCCCACCTTTGCTATTACTGTTCCCCTGAACACTCTTACTATTCTTCATTTTATTGCTTTCATTCACCATTTCACCCTTCCCAAAAATCATAGAAGGATCCATCTTATTATTCGTTTCTCCAACAGCATCAGAAGAAAAAGCAATACAATCTCCTTCCTGTTGGACAACAACCTTGTTCCCCTTAGCATCCTCTTCCATTCCATCCATAACTTCCTTACCAATCATTCCCAGGATTTCAAAACTATTTTTATTACTACAACCATCACCAGTAACAACCTTATTTTCTAAATTCTTGCTAAAACCCACCTTTATGATATCATCCTCTTTAGTATCCCCTGCACCTTATTCCCCTTATTCCCCTGATTACTAGTCAAAGTCTGACCTGTAGCATACTTCTCATATCTTCGATTCTTTTCCAAATTCCAGTGACTCACCCCTCTATTGTTCCAGTTCCCATTCTGCCCTCTACCATTACCACCTCTATTCCCATTATTACCCCTGAAACTATTTCCCCTGTTAAAATTGCCATTCTTTCCACTATTTCTCTGATTATACAAATTAGCAGGACCCTCCATAGTTTTACTAGTACCTTCACCATCTTTATTTCCTTTAACCTTCTTATTAACAACCTCAGTAAAACCTTCATCATTAACCACTTCCTTCCCTTTATTTCCCTTATTGGTCCCATTATCCCCATTCTTTAAAACTTTATCTTCATTCAAAACTGCCATACAAACTTTATCCATATGACCATAGACCTTACAGTGATTACGTCTAGAAGGAATCCACGCATACTCCACATTAAAACTCTGAGTCACAGCAGAATTAGAAACAAAATCCCAAGTAGATGCCTCAATTTTCCTCTTCCACTCCTTATCAGCCTCCATTTCAACAAGAATTCGAGCATAAGCATTCCTACCCTTGTGTTCCAAACACATCTCCTCAGTAAAAGAATCAAAAGCCAGAGGAACCCCCAACTTACTCGCAATAATACACATATTGTCCCCACTCCAAACTTCCAAAGGTAAATCATATATTTTGATCCACACCGGAATTTTATCATGATTGTTCTTGGTTAAAGTCAGCCCCGGTCTCCACCGTTGAAGAAATAAAGGCATATTATTGAACATTAGCCATGGACTTCCCTACAATATAGATAACATCCCCTGCTCATCACTAAATTTAAAAAAGAAAAATCCTTTACTGTTCATGAAGATCTCCTCAAGTCCCACATTCCTCCACAGCCTTCTAACCTCTTTTTGAATTACAGGAAACGCCAACTTCTTATTAATCATGTACCCATATAAAGTATTAGTATATGGAATACTCCCCTTCTTTAAATTCTCAATTGGAATAATAATTGGACCTTCTTCCTTACCCTTTTCCCCTGGTATAAACTTTACGTCAATCTTACCCTTATGCCTATTACCTTTTAACACACCAGCATAAGAGTTCAACAAGTTCCCCTGACCATCACCATCCACCTTCTTACAAATATTAGCATCACCCAATATAGAGGGAAGCAAATTAATACTGTTAATAACAGTACCAGACTTCAGCTTTGAATTAGGCTCATTATTCACCACAATATTACCCTTCTCTTCCATCACAATTTCCTCATCCTCACTAGACTCATCCTTACTAGATTCATCATCACTAGACTCATCAGAAGAATCATCTGTATCATTACCATCTTCATTCCCTTTAACTTGCTTATTCAAAATTGATATATCAACATCCATTTCCTGATTCAAACTACTGTCCATCTCCTTTTTCTTAGGAGTATCCTCCTTCATCTTATTAAGGAATTGAAACCCAACACCCGGAATAAACTCTTCATTATTCATAATGTTCTTATCATCAACCTTAATACCACTTTTATCAATCCCATCAACCCTAGATTTCTCAACTTCACAATCAACCAAATTAGGGCATACAGGTTTTGAGACATCATTCACAGAAATGTTAGGATTCGCCCTAATCATTTGACTAGTAACCATTTTCAATTCCGAACTAGGACTCAATAATTCATCATTCACCTTAGAACCATCCCAATTTTTCAACAAATTAGCAGTGTTACCTGAAGGAATAAAAACAACTTGAACTCCTACAGCCTTCACCTCACCAGGACCACCATCCTTCAACCCCTTCAGAGTGTTATCATTTCCAGGAATCGAAACACTAGCATCCGACTCCCAAGCCGACACAGACTCCGAATCATCTTCCGTTTCCTCCTCTGTAACTTCTTGAGTGTAACATTCCACTGTATCCATCGGAGACATCCCATCCATAATTTTTCGAGCCCGATTCTTTACTCTAAAAGCTTTCCCCTCTATTTTCCATTCAACCTTTCCAATCCCCAAAGCAACAGCTCCAGAAGCACTTGGCTTACTACGATTTTTGTAGATCGTAGCTGATGACTGATCAATGACCCCAGTAGGAACCAGATCTTTCACATCCACTTCAGTCCTAACATACCAGACAGCAACACTTTTATCCGGCGGTTTTACTTTCACTTCCTTCAATCGATCCACTTTGGATGACGCACCCATAAGGACAACGGAAACAGAAGAGAAATTGCTAGTACAACGAAAAAGAAATCATCGGAGAAGCAGCACCGATGAACCAAGAACTAAATCGCACCACCGTTAGAGAGAATCAGGGGAAGAGAGAGAAAGTAGAGAGAGAAAGCGAAAAAGTTTTTTTCCTCCTTCAAGTGTTCTTGACCAAGATTAACAAGATCAAAGAATCAAATTTCGATTTCAAAGTTATGACTTGAACAAAATCGATTTCATCATATAATAAATCATATGAAATCGAATCTCATTTTCAGACTATCAATCAACAACAAATGATTAAAAGACACGAGAAAATGAGAACGAGAATTCAAGAACAATCGATTAAGAACAGAACAGTGTATGGATACGATTATACAACAAATAAAGCATGTGTACAAGTTGAATGAAGAACAACAACATACGTCGACTGGATGTTATAAATCAATGGGCTTCAATCATTTAAAACGGATTCAATTACATTTGGACTTATTGTTTTAAGATAAGGGATCGAAAACTAGGCTTGATAACAAAAAACATGACAATATCCATAACACGAATTAAATTTGGACATGAACAGTATCGAATCATCAAAAACATGGACTCAAGATAACAAAGTGTAATAAATGGATCCATAACACGATTTTTGGGCCAAGTTCTTGATTTAAACAAATAGTTGCAATTGTGAATCAAATTGAACAACAAATAGGATTGGGCTTGATCAACGAAAAAACTATTGGATCATAACAAGTGGGTTTTTCAAAAAAAAAATTAGATCTAATGAGTCGAAATGATAAAAAAATTCAAGAACGCAAGCACCAATCAAAAAGATTTAGAGAGATCATCGAGAGACTCACCATAATCGTTCCAATTGTGATGATTATTGCCAAATCGAGAATTGTTTCTTCAAAAATTACTTCAATCTTCGAAGACATGCTCTGATACCAATTGATGTGAATTATGAGCATTGATTTGGCATGCAGAATTAAATAACACACGAAGAACATGGTGATTTGGGTGTTTAAGAGATGCATTCGATTATGAAAGGTGTTACAAAAATGGATCTAGATCTAAATCTACATAATTAACACACACTAACACTCTCAATGTTACATCTCTCAAGAACACCTCTACAAGTGGTATGAACCCACCTTATATAGAGGTGCTTACATGTCTCCCTCTCTCCCTCTCTCTATCTATCTATCTATCTCTCATACCATAATGCTACTCTAACACATGCAAGTGGATCTACAAAAGTCAAACCATTTACAAAGTCATACATGGATAACTTTGTACCCAACAGACCCCTGCTTGGTCGCATCGTGCTTTTCATGGCAAGAAACTCGTTATTGGTAAGAACTTACTCCCTTAATACAGAGGATCAAACTTTCAAGAACCTATCTAAGTATGATCTTAAGGGATAAAGCTTTCAACTTTCTTCAAATGCATGACCTAAAAAAAGGGATTCCTAAATCTAGATCCAACATGTACCCTAAATGGCTTGAATCTTATTGCATGGATTGAAGAGGGTTCTTGCATACCCTTTTCTTACCAACAAGTGTCCAAAAATCCATAAAATAACATCCTTAACCTGCAATTTTCCTAAACTTCAAGAAATCACTAGGAATGGGACCAAAAAACACATTACTATTCCATAACTCTATATCTAAATATAGAAAGCATAAGGTTGAAGCTTTTTACTTACAACAGTCCATTAAACTAGTGAGAAGGTGGAAAATTCCTTGGAACAGGCTTCCTCTACAACCACACAACCTTCTTCTTTAACAAAACACACCAAAAAGCACCAAATCCCGAAATATGGTGAGAGAAAACCCATAGAAGTTATCTCCTTTAAATATGTTCCAAATCCCGAAACTCGGGTTTTTATGAAAATAGTGGTGTCGCGTCGTGACCATCA